CGTAACGACTATATTTTTCATTCTTATTCTTTCAAAAATGAGAAACAAATTGAGACTATATTTATTTATTTTTTGTTGAATTGTAGATATAGACTCTGGTGCAATGATTGTCATTTGTTATTTTGTTAAATTTGAAAAGAGTGATGAAGATGGATGGATTTGGAAATAGATAGGGAATGTTGAAGACACCGCAACAAATATTTTTGTATAAAAAACTATCTCATATGCAGAGTTGTATGACGAAATTCGAAAAGCATTTAAGGTTGATCCCAATATCTATGACATCAAGATGAAATTTCTTGTTCCCGACATGGCAAAATTTTCAGTTCCGTCAATGAAAATTACTTACAATATGGATATTAGTTGGTTTCTTTCTTTGCATGACAAAGTTTCAATCTGTATAACCTTTGTGGAAAAGGGTTATGTTGATCAACAAGACATGGAGGTTGATTTTGTAAATGTTCAGGAGAATCATGAATACAATTCAAATGTTGTTGTGGACAATATGGTAGACATGGATGAATTGAATATGCAAAAAGATCAGTCTGATGACAATTATATACAGCTGTTGTCACCATGTAATTAAATTTGTGAAAATGATTATGTGAACTTTACAAGTAATGATTATTAGGATGGAGTAGAAGTAGTGCGTGGCAACTACATAGATGGTTCTCATGTGATAAATGAAGACAATATTACTCATAATGTACATTTTTCATTGGTATATGAGATTATGGGCATTTTACTAGTTATTGCTTGTCTGAATCCTTGTGAAACATCAGTTGAGAATTCTAACACCGATGATGTGCACGTTAGCCAAATTTTTCACAACAAGAAGGATTTTTAGGAATCACTACTAATGGTTGCTGTAAGAAACTCTTTTGAATTTAAGGTCACTAAGTCAAATAAGAGTACACATGTAATAATTTGTGTTGAAGAAATTTACAAATGGCCTTTGCGGGCAACACGATTGAGGAAAGTGACGAATTTGAAATTCAAAAGTATTTACGTTATCATAATTGTTCATTGGATGTTCACCACAAAGATCATAGACAGGCTAGTTGTTGGATGATTGGAAAACACATCATGTCGAAATTTGAGGATCCCAACATTATATGCAGACCTTCGAACATGGAGTTTGGCATAGATATAAATTATTACGAGGCATGGATGGCTAGAGAATATACTATGGAGCTATTTAGAGGTTCACGTGATCTAAGTTATGATAGATTGGCCAAATATTGCAATATTTTGAAGAAGAATAATCCTGGTACAGTGACGTTGATTGAGGTTGATAATGAAAACCGGTTCAAATACTTTTTCATGGCTTTAGGACCATCCGTGGTTTTCACTCATCAATGAGACATGTCATTTCTGTGGACGGAACATTTCTGAAATCCAAATTTCGAGGTACGTTACTTGTTGCCGCATGTCAAGATGTAAATCTTCAAATATATCCTTTTGCATTTGGCATTGTTGATTATGAAAATGACGCATCATGGACTTGGTCTTCCATTAGTTGTTTCAAGTAATGGGTATGTTGGAAGGGTTTGTTTTCATTTCTGATAGTAAGGATAGCATTGGTAACGCTATAAAGATCGTTTATCCTTATGCACATCATGGATGTAGCATGTGACATCTACAACTGAACATAAAGTTCAATTATCATAAGACCGATATTTTGCCATTATTTATGGCAATTGCAAAGGAGTATAGTTTGATTAATTTTGAAAAATCAATAGCAAATCTATATCGTAAAAGTTGGGTATGAATTTTGTTCCCAAGCACATTTCAAAAGAATCCATTACAATATTATGACAACTAACAATTCATAATCTTTGAACTTGTTATTCAAGAATGCTCAGGAGTTTTCAATACTTGCTATAGTTGACAAATAAGAAAAACTTTACAGAAATGATTTTAGAGAGACAAATTGAGGCTGAAAAATGTGCAATTACTCTAATCCCATCCATTGAAGATAAAATGCGTAAAAAGTATGATGATGCAAAGGAACTGATAGTGGTACCAATAAATGAGTATGAGTTGTACATCAGTGTTGAAAATGAAATGCATATCATTAACTTGAAGGCAAAAACCTGTAGTTGTAGGAAATTTGATGTGGAAAAGCTTCCTTGCAAACATGCACATGCAGCAGCGAAATTTAAGAAAATATCTTGTTACAATTTATGCTCACCTTATTATACCAGTACTAGTTGGAAACAAGCATATACTGAATGTATTTATCCAGTGGCAAATGAGGCTGACTGGAAAATCTTCAATTAAACAAATGTGTTACCATCTCTTTCGAATCAACGACAAAATGAACATCCAAAAAATCATCGAATTCCATCAAGAGGAGAGGAAAAAAAGACTTGTAAAAGTAGTGGGTGTGGCCAGAGGGCCATAATCGTTTGACTTGCAAAAATGCTCTACACTATTTGACAGATGCATACAACTTTTTTTGTTTAACTTAATCTTAAAATTGTGATAGATTATGATGATTTTTGATACATTGTGATAGTTGTCTGACAAAGTCTGATAGCTACTTCAGACAATTTTTTGATAAATATGACAACATCACTGTTTGTCCAGACCAAAATGGCATCTGATCGTTTTAAATGTATGGGTGCTATTTCTACTCATTTCGTGTTCATTTTCGTTTATTCACGTTTGTTATGGATGAATGGATGTTAATTGTCAATTTAATCTTTACATTGTGATGATTTTTTGATAAATTTTGATTGATTTGTAAGTCAGTTTCTGATAAAAATGACAACAGCACTGTTTGTTCAGACTAAAACGACATCTAGTCGTTTTAAATGTATGGGTGCTATGTTTACTCATTTCGTGTTCAATTTTGTTCATTCACGTTTGTTACGGATGGATAGATGTTAACCGTTAATTTAATATTTATATAGTGATGATATTTTGATCAATTCTCATAGATTTGTAAGTTAGTTTCTAATAAAAATGACAGCAGCACTGTTTGTTTAGACTAAAATGACATCTGGTCGTTTTAAACGTATGAGCAACGTTTCTATTCATTTCTTATCCATTTGGGGTAATGAAGCCCATAACCGCTTGAAAATTGAATGACGAAGGTTCGAATTACATTTCGACGTTACAATCGACACATTTGTCCAAACTATAGCGAGTTTCTC